CTCGTAGTCCTTTGATTGAAATCGAAAAACTCTCAGCAACCTCCTTTACGATGATTATTTTGTAGAAATTTAAAAAATGTTAAAAATAATGAATATAGAATCACACAGAAATGAGTGGTCAATAAGGAAATGATAAGTGATGCAAAATTTCTACTTTCGGTTTAAACCTTTTGATCTACAGTAAATTTATGTGAACACGAAATTCCAATGACAAAGTATATGTGTAAACTGTTTTACAATTTATAATTTACTCTTACTTGTGGTCAACCCAAGGATTAATATTGTCCATCAGCTGGAAAATATGTAGTAAATGAGGAGGTAATTAGTATTTATGTAAAACTTTTAAACAAATTTTCGTTCGCTTCGAATGTATATTAACATGAACGCCATTAATTTGTTTTTGTGTCCGCCCTAACAATTACAAAGAACCACCAGGTTTGTGGTAAGAAATTCAGTGATTCACACTTTTCACTTTAGTTTTTTTCAGGTAATCAATCGCTGTTTATTAAGGTTTATGTTTATCAATGCAGGAAGAATCTTTGAAAAACAATCAATTTAATTCACAAAGGCTCCAATTTGTCAAATTAACAAGTATTTACCCAGTTTTTCTCATTTCCTAAAATGAACCTCTCTGTTCAGCTACAACTTATGCGGAATATTTATGACATTAGTTAAGTGCGTATAACCTCTTATATCTGATCAAATGCTCCAGCTCTTGGCTTTAAGATTATTATGAATCTATATATTGTTAAGATTTATATTATATCTTAAAAAGACTTCTTTATTGTTCGTACATGTATTTAAGCAATATTAAATTGGACAAATTTTGATCTTTTGTTTAACGAAAGCAAAAATTCTGAATTTCATGACCTTTGCCACCTTAGGCCAAGGGTGAGGGGCCTAATTCATCAAAATGAATGTAATCTAAAAAATAAAAACTTTCCGGTAGAGAGACAAACCATTACTAGTAGCTCACAGCTGTCGACCAAATGAACATACATTATATTTAAAAACCATCTTGACACATGCACCTCTATCAGATAAAAGAGTTTAAATGATCACAATCGGTTCTTTATCCGGTTTTTACATTCATAAAATTCTAGAGTTACGCTATGTTTCTCAGGTATTGAAAATGCATTTAATTGTTGAAAATCTTTTTAAAGAACATTTTAACTGATTATTTGATTAATAGTTAACAATTATTCCTCTACCATAATTGTAAATATTAATTGCTCGTTGTATAGAGGTCAGACCAAGTGTAGTTTAAGGACAGATGATACAAACCTTTTTTTTTCTTTGGAGGAGTTTTATTATCATGTCACATGTTAAGAAAAGTGGATAATTCTAAGAATTTTTTCTTCTAGGAATAGACTTTGAAAATATTAGTAATACCCGGTATTTCAATAAAATTACAAATATAGACAAATCACACTCTGTAAAGGTTTACAGATGAAAACCACAACAACAACAACAAAAGAATATGTTACTTTGGTGCTAAAAGTGTAATATGAACTTTAAAAAAATAAACCAAGCCAGGTTAGTTTTATTAGGAAAGGCAAAATGGTAAAAATCAGTCCATGTGATATTGCTGATTTTTTGTCATTATATAAAATTTAACTTTCTTGGTATTTTTTTCTAAAGATTATATTACACTTTTAGCACAAATAATAATATAGAATGTATATACTACCATAATATATAGACCTTTTCCTATGACATATTTTGTCTAGGAGTTGTTTCCCTTAGCCGCCATATTGCAGGGCAACATTCCCAGATCCCTTCATTATTAAACCAAGTTCAATTTGTTATTACAGGTTACTGAAGTAAAGATGTTGCTATTTCTTCCTATGAATATACGTTTGTTAAAGCATCTATCAATTCATCAAAATAATATTGCGAATATTTCACTCCCCCCCCCCAATATACTTCTTGCATTCTTGTTAAAAATTGATTGTTCAAAAAGGTAAATTCACTACTTTGCACTACAAAGTGGCGGCTAAGGGGAATAAGTAGTAGACAAAATATGTCACAGGAAAAGGGTCTTTTCTGAAATATGTTTTCACCTGTTAACCTTTACTTACTGTGATTTGTCCATATTTGTTTTTTAATTGAAATATTAGTAATCTTTTCCAAGTACTTTTCCAGTTTGTAGAAGAGAAAATTCTAAGAATTAATCATTTTTTAAACTCGTGACATGTGTATTAAGTCTCATCCAAAGGAAAAATGTGTTTGTATCATCTATCCTTAAGTTTATTAGTTTACATCGAGGATACTTTACAAATTATAAACTCTATTCATTCCCTATTAATTTATTTGCAAATAAATTCCTCACAGGGGCTGACAAATAGATTTTTAAGGCACTAGCCCAAGGGCAAGTACTTGGTCAAAATTGACTTGCCCTACCTGAATTTTTGCTTGCCCTACCATAAACTAATTCTATATTTATAGATATTTCAAAAGAGAGAAAGACAAATGCTGAGCAAGCCCCCATGCCAAGCTTTAAATTTATGGCCTACAAATAAATTCTATTTTTGAAAGTCACTTGCCCACGGACAAGTGGTTGATAAAATTGCATTTGCCCACCCCTTAAATTCACTAGCCCCGGGCGTCGGGCAATGGGATTTGTCATCCCCTGTCTCATATTAATAAAAAAAAATTATAATAGAAAATACATAACCCTCTTATTTACTCTTCTCGAACATTCATCATAAAATTGTTTGTAGTTCCAATCGGGACTTAATCATCCAGGAGCGTGTGTCTCTTGCTTGTTTTATTGAAAAATTGTAACGAGTCAAGTGTTAAACGTGTCGTTATAATGAAAGGTAATTAATCACATAAATCCAGTAAAACCAAAAGAAATTGTGAACAGGATAAAGAAACAGACCCCTCAAAACAATACTTACTAATTAACACATTTGTTGTCCCCCGCTTAAAAAGTGGAGGATATTAATTTGGGTCTCCCCGTCCGTCCGTCTGTCCGTCCGTCCGTCTTTCTGTCTGTCTGTAATGCTTTCCTTTCCAAACGATATTTCGAGAACCCTTTGAGCTTTCGCAATGAAATTTTGCATAGTAAATCCCTATAAACTGAAGAAAACCCTATTGATTTTGAGGTCAATAGGTCGATTATCAAGGTCATGAATTCGTGAATTCTGTCTGTTATAACACTTTCGTTTCCGTGCGATATCTCGAGAACCCTTTGAGCTTTTGCAATGAAATTTTATATAACAACTCCCTGTGGTCTAAGGAAGACATCTATTTATTTTGAGGTAAAAAGGTCAAAATTCAAGGTCGGAAATTTATACAAAATGTCTATGTGTAACACTTTCCTTTCCGTCTCAAAGTGTCCCGCCCCGTTTGTTTTATTAGCATTTATTGTGTTACATGTCGTTATTTTTAGCACAGGGACATGAGGAGAGTTATTACGTATAGAAACAGGTTCTCGGCGGACTTTTTATTCTTATTACATATATTAGAACTGTTTAATAGGGTTCAATTAGACACTCTGCATTGTGTAAAAATTTTGACTGTATCGAACGTGAATATATAAATGTATGTGACTTTAGCTTTGCATATAATTTTCATAAGTTTAAAGCGGTTTAGAAGTTTGTCTCTCGCTTCACATGTAAGAGATCGCGGATTCGAATTCTTTTTTTTTTCCAATTTTTTTTTCTCTAAATGATAGAATTTAGCATGTGAAACGAAAACTTTATGAGGTCTGGCTTAAACAAACTCATAAAATCATAATTACAGACTGATAGATATTCCATCTAAAAAGAATCTTCTGTATACACAATTAAGAATAAGCAATCAAATCTTTATATCCATATTGGCATATTTTATTTGCTTCATTATACATGTATGCATTTAATAATTCTACAAATTCAGTCAGGGGGATCCGACCCCCATCCGCTCGAACTGCGCATGCTTTACTTTTTCCCTAAGCGGAGGACACACTCTCTGAATTAGCTTGTTAATTTTCAGTTCTACTTGTCAGAGACCAGAATAGCTTATGCGATAGTAATGCGTCCGGCGTCCGTCCGTCTGTCTGTCTGTCTGACTTCTGTAAACAATTTTTCAATATGCTACTCCTTCTACAGTTTTGGTCTGATTTCAATATAACTTGGCTTTCAAGTATGCTGCAGTTGGATACATAATTCTGTGTATCGGTTTTTTGATTTCAATGAACGGTTATGTCGTGGTTACTAAAAACAAAGTATTGTGAAATACTTTCAAAATGCTACTCCTCCTACAGTTTTGGTCTGATTTCAATCAATCTAACTTGGCACACAAGTAGACAACACTAAGATACATTATTCTGTGCATGGGTTTTCGATTTCGATAAACGGTGTTGCTTTGGTTACTAAAAAAAGAGGTTTCTGTGAAATACTTTAAAAATTCTTCTCCTACACTTTTTGTCTGATCATAATATACCCGGTAATTTTGCATGTAAGTTGACTACACTGAAATACATAATTATCAATTGTGTGTTTTTGATGATTGATGTTGCCATGGAAACTAGTATTGAAAACTCTGTATTAAAATCTACTCGAATAGTTGTATTCTTATTGCAATCTTGCCACAAAAAGACACTTAATCAAGGATTTTAATTTTTTTTATTGCTTTTGTAAAGTTTAATGCCCCAACTGCTACTTTTCTCTTCCTTTATTATAGGTACAATCCAGTAGAGCAACAGTCTCGACAGAGACTTCTGGTTTGTTGTTTTCTAAGGGACTTTTATTATGAACGGTGGATCGGGAAGGGGAAAAAAATGTGAGGAGGAAGAAAAGATAATGAAGAATTTCGGAAAACTATCTTGTTTTAACAATGGCATCAAATATTCTAGCTAGTGATCAACTGAACTTAATTCACTCATATGGTAAAGCAGGTGCAGACCTTAAGGACCCATTTCATTAAGCGGACAATTAGGAGCAGTGGAAAAAATTTAGGAATATGACAAAATAAGGAAGATTTGTCGGAAAGTTTTTTTTTTAATTCAAGCAATGGCATCAAATATTCTGGCTAGTGATCAACTGAACTTCATTCGTATGGTTATAGCAAGTGTGGATGAGATCAAAGTAGTTCTAGCGGACATTTTAAGATGTGAGTTGAAACCTGTAGACTTGCCTAAATCCATAATCTCGTGCTCAGAATTGATGATCGGGAGACATAAACTGAGGCCAGAACAACTGAAACTCTGTTGTCCCTCTCCCCCTGCTGTACCAAACTATAGACAGTTTGATGTTTCTTTGTTATATACACTCATACGAAACCTGTGTCCACAATTAAAACCAAAACAAGATTGGGGAAAACCATTGGCAAGCACTGATATTGAAATCGGACATGATATCGAGCGCCTCAGGGAATTTAGAAACACGATGTTTGCGCACTCGGAGTCTTCCAGTGTAGATGACATGGTGTTTACTACAAAATGGCAGGATTTAGAACAGATATTCAAGAGGATACAATCGTTTCTTAAAACAAAAGGAATCTCAGTTGACTACGGGAAGAAACTGAAAGATATTGCAAAGAGTGACTTTGGTTTCGAGGATATGGAAAAATACAAAACTTTTTTACAAGGCATTTTACATATAGAAAGGGAAAAGTATAAATACTGTAAGTGTTATAATACTTATTTTTAATAATCCCATCTCTCTAATGTTCTAAAATCCCTTGTGTATTGTGTTCCAATTTTTAGCTCTTCTGAGCCAAAGGCTCAAAGAGCTAATGCATGACCATTTCAGTGTGCAGTGTGCGTAAACTTTTTAGAATATGGGCCATAACTCATAAATCCCTTGGCAAATCATATCCAAATTTGTCACAGGGTATCCTTGGCCCAAGGACTACCATTTATACTAAAATAAGGGTTTGGACCCTTAAACTAGGAGAGATAATCAGGAAATCAAAACCAAAAGCACTGGTTGCTAAAAATCTTCTTCTCCATAACCACCAGGCAGATTTTCACCAAACTTACATACAAGGATCAGGATATGTCGAAAATTTAAATTTGCACGGGGAATTACCCTGGGGCAAAGGGCGTGGTCTCAAGGTCACTTAAAGGTTGACCTAAATTTACAATTAATAAAAACGTGTATATTTTGCTTACTATAAGGACTAGGATTATCAAATCTTGTAAGTTGATGCATCTTAGGACTTCACATCATGTTAAATCAAAAGTAGGACACGGTGACCTACTTTTTAAATTTTGCGGGGATTTGTTTTCAAATTGATTTGAAAGCATATTTTGGACACTTTAAGGCCTATGATCATCAAACTTTGTCAGTTGATTCATCTTGGGTCCTCGAACAATGGCAACTTAAAAGTGGGCCACTTTATGACTTATCCTTTTAAAAACATTCAAACCCATTATTTCGGACACAGGGAGGTTTAGAAACATCAAATCTTGTACTTTTATGCATCTTGGGACCTTGAAAGATATTTATGAAAAAGTACGTCACTGTGACCTACTTTTTGAATTCTGTTGACATTTTTTTCAAATTTTTAAAACGCATATATGATTACCTTCAGACCTACGATCATCAAACTTGTCAGTAGATACTTCTTGGGTCTTTGAAAAATGTCGACCTAAATGTAGGTCAACGATGACCTACTTTTGACATTTTATGGCTATATTTAAGTATCTTAGGTATTAATTGGCTTAGAATCATCAAACTTTGTGAGTCGATGCATATTTGGTTTTCGGAGAGTGACGACCAAAAAGGAGGTCACGGTGACCTACTTTCGTTTTATGGCTTATTTCAGTATCTCCGGTACTTATAGGCTTAGAATCATCAAACTTTGTGAGTTGATGCATCTTGGGTTTTCGAAGTGTTACAACCAAAAAGTAGGTCATGGTGACCTACTTTTGACATTCTGTGGCTATGATTAAGTATCTCTGGTACTTAAAGGCCTAAAATCATCAAACTTTGTCCGTTTAGGCATCTTGGGTTTTCTGAGATTGTCGACCAAAAAGTAGGTCACAGTGACCTTTTTTTAACATTTTATGGCTATATTTAAGTATCTCAGGCACTTGTAGGCTAGGAATCATCAATCTTTGTCAGTTTAGGCACCTTAGGTTTTCGAAGAATGTCGACCAAAAAGTAGGTCACTGTGACCTACTTTTGATATTTTATAGCTATATTTCATTATATCTGGCACTTATTGGCTTGGCATCATCAAACTTTGTCAGTTGGGGCATCTTAGGGTTTCTTTGAATGTCCAACAAGAAGTAGGTCACGGTGACCTACTTTTGAATATTAGGTACTTATTGGCTTAGAATCATCAAATTTTGTCAGTTTAGGCATCTTGGGTTTCTGGATAACGTCGACCAAAAAGTAGGTCATCGTGACGTCCTTTTGACACTGATGGCTACATTTAATTATCTCTGGTACCAATTGGCTTAGAATTGTCAATCTTTGTCAGATGATGCATCTTGGGTTTTCAGAGAATGTTGACCAAAAAGTAGGTCATGGTGACCTACTTTTGAATATCTCAGGTATTTATTAAATTAGAATCATCAGTCTGTCAATTACTGTATCTTGAGTTCTCAGAAAATTTCAATCAAAAGGTAGGTCGCTGTGACCTACTTATGGGTTTTATAATTATATTATAACATCTTCAGTCTTAACTGGCTAAATATTATCAAACTTTGTTAAGTTAATGCATTTTGGGTCTTATGATACCAATAGAGTTGGAGGCTTCTAATAGAAGTGATAGATTGTACAATTTATCAGAAGAGCGATTCAAGGCCCTTGGGCCTCTTGTTATTGTTTCAGTAGATTTTTGAGATTTAATACTGTTAGTT